AATTTGGATTTCTTCCCTGCCTTGATGATTTCTGATTTCTGCCCTTTACACACGGAGCACCAGAATAACAGGGGGGCTGCGTGAGTGAGTTTGAGGGAACAGACGTTGCCACAAAGAGGCATTTGGAGCAGAATGTCAGAAAGTCACCTCCAGCTCACCAGCAGAAATTAGTAATGCAACACCCACTGCTGGTTTTGCCTTATCTGAGCAGGTGTGCAAATGAACAGAACAATGCAGAGCCTCCCCTGCTCCTGCCAGTGCCCAGAGAGCTCCAGCCAGGAGCTGCCTCACACACGGGTTACTCACAGATTGTCCCCCCTCTGCCTCCATTAACTCTTTGCTACCTCTTTTCTCAGGAAGTTCTCTAGATGAAGTTCTCTTATTTAAAGCTTTCATTGACTCATTTCAAGACTTATTTTGACTCAGTAATTTTGTTACTCAGACTGTTCCCCCGTTACACTGCCCGTGAAAAACCCACCACACTATTAGTTCACCATCACTTTGCCACCTCACTCCCAAGCACTCATGGAGAGTTTTTACAGTGAAGCTTCAAGGTTGGATTAGTTTTGAATTTCTATTTAATTACAGATTAAAGAGGTAAGATTAACTAATTAACAAATCCAGGCATCAAACAGGACTGGAGTGTGTGAGGACCAGTCTCCTGGTGACCACCCCCCCATTAATTGTGCAGCACAATTAATGAAGAGGGGAAGCTGATGAGGAAAGGGGGTGACTGGAAGACCGAGCAAGAGGAATGATGAGGGGAATTTGATGTTCAGTTTAAATAAGTTAGTTCTGGGAAAGCAAAAAAAAAAAAAAAAAGAAGTGGAGGTTTCCCAGTGATTGTACGTGACCCCTCCACTTCCATTTTTGTGATAAGTGTTTTATAAAAACCTGCTTGTGGTCTGCTTTAACTTCTTTTTTTTCTTGCACCAAATACCCTTAAATGTTGATTAAACCAGCCAGCAGGCAGAGAACCCCTTTCAAGCAGGAATTTATCAGAGAGGAGCTGTTAATTAAATCGAATCGGGGGAGAGATCCGTTTTTAATTTGGCCACCTTTTACACTGCTAATTAAATAAGATTTCACTTATTAGTCGAATCTAATCATTCCACGGGAGTGAAGTCACAGTGTCGTGTCAGAACACAGCGCTGGGCTCTCCCCACAGCCAGGGCTGGGTGTGGCAGAACTTTGTTCTGCCTCTGCAAAGAAGAAACCCCACGTGAAGAGGTGGAAAAGCGATCCAGGCAAAGGCACCCGGGCTCTCAGGAGCGCTGGAAAGATGGGATTAACATGTGTCCAAGTGTCACTATCACAAAAGTTCATCAGTTTAACTCCTTGCAGGGCAGGAAGTCAGTTCTCTGGAGCTCCTGACGCAACCAAAGCAGTTGCAGCTCAGTTTAATACAAACCCTCTCGAGTCCACGTTGACAAATTCTTTAACAAGCCCTGTGGTTACAGGGAAGCTGGTTTCAGTCTGAGTCACTCCTGTTCAAACAGTTTACTGGAAATGGAGGGGAGGGGGAATTTTCAGAGAAGTCATGTGATGGCCAGACAAACCACAACCAGCAAAGGTTCAGTGGAGGCAAAAACAGGTCCCAGCAACAACTGACACCCAGAGTGCAGATGGCACCCAGTCATTTCCAAACCAGCCCTGCTGCAGCCCCGGCATCTCCATGGATTTAACCCCTTTCCAAGCCTCTCTTCTTCCAGAGGCAGGGACACGGCTTGGAAAGTAAACAAACAGCAGTGGCTGATAGTAACACAGGCAACTAGAAAATATTTTTACGTGGAAATTTGGCTGCCCCGAGGCTGCACAGGAGCAAAGCCCGGTGTGTAAATCGTTAGTCCTTAAAAATGTGCCACTTAATGAAGCCAAACACTTACAGTCATTAAGGGTTAGATATGCACAGAGATATCAGTACTTTCCCCTCTCAGCAAGGAGTACCAAGATACAGCAAGGCCCAGCACTGTCACCAGGCTCTAAAAAGCTTCATTGTCACCAGGAACCTCCCTCAGCTTTAAGTGTTTCAGCGTGACAGAGAAACGATGGGAAAACTCAACAGTCAGCAAGTGTTCAACTGGCAAGAGAGTCCCTGCACACGTGTGTGGAGACACGAGCTGCACAAAGGATGTGTGCACTGGCATTACCAATGTGCTGCCCCAGCACTGAGCAGGATTCACTTCCCCTAATTGAGAGGCTGCTGTGCTGGAGATACTCCCTGTGGCTAAAAGGGGAGCTCTGATAAAACACTCCCTGGCTCTGGAATTCCACTGGAAGAGAGTTAAAGGCGACAGAGATACTGTTTTAAACACTGGTGATTTTTAAATGCTGCCCTGAGCGCTCACAAATCAGAGGGAGCTGCTCCATGCTGGGCTCTCACTGTGTGTGAGGGGAAAGGGCCCAGAGTGCAAACCCACCCTCCTTGTCCAGGGCAAAGCCACAAGGAAGGAGAAGCTCCAACACTCCCTTTTATGTAACTGGAACTCACTGGTGAGCACACACAGGGACACAGGGAAAGGAGAAGTGAGTGTTCCTTTAAAATGAGGGGCTTTTTCTGAAGGGTGTTAATGGGAAGTACAAGACAGGCACACACGTCACCTGCAGGCCAAGGAGCTCACTCAAAACCCAGCTCGAGGTCACTCAGATCTGAGATTCAGGACAGAAAATCCATCAATAGACTCCCTAAAGTAACTAGCATTTTACTCTGTGTAACTCTGACTGGAGCACTGAACCTTTCTGCTGTTTAATCCTTTTTTGGTTGTTTTTTTGTTTTTTTTTTAAGTGCCCAGCCAGCAGCACATTCCCCCTCACAGATCCTTCAGGCTGGATGTTACAGGCATGATCCATTCTCACCAGAGAAGATCCTCATCTGTTTCTCCAAACTACCATTGTTTTTGAGAAACAGCAGCCCAGGCTCTCTGAACAACACACACACACACACAGAGGGAATCACGTCAAACCATTTGGCTCTGCCTCGTGGGCAAAGAGCAGCTCAGCTATTCTCCAAAATCCAACACCCATTCCCAGGCCTTTCCAAAAGCCTGGACAGAACTGAGACCTTTATGCTGAAAGAAGGCTCCTGTCGTTTGCCATCAAGCATTTGGAGCATCCCCCAGGGCACAGGACACTTGTCACATCCTGCCCCGTGTTTTCCTAAGCCCTGGGAAGAGTGGGAGAAGCCGATGGAGGTAATAAAAATCGGTAATGAGCAATTTAAAAATAGGCATCACCACGGGCTCGTGGGTGCAAATGACAGGACAAGCAGTGATAAGCTGTGCTGGAGATGGGGATTTGCAGAGGTCAGAGGAAAGGCAGGCCTGTCTCCCACAGACATCCAGCGAAAACACCAGCGAAGCCAAAAGCAAAAAAAGGAAGTCACATTAGCAAATGGAAAAAACTGAACTGTCAGTTTTATGAGCACAATGCAATTTAATCAGATTGTCAAAGCCTCACGCTAGAAGAGTTTATAGAAACCAAACCACAAGTGGAGTTTAAAAGATTGTTGGGGTTTTTTTTGGTGGTTTTTTTTTTCCTGGCCATCCATCCACAAAACAAGACGTTTCAATCCAAACCCGACTGCCAAGAAAAAAATAAAATCAAAAGTAGTGGTAAATAACAGCATCATTTTTCTTCATTAATTCCACAAGGCCACTTGTTTACTCTGGGCAGTCAGTACAGCTATAGTTTGGCCTGGCCTGACAAAATGCTCTCTAGCAAAAAAATCTTCTGCCCAAGAATCTTACTGTGCGTTCTGGAAACCAGCTCTGGCTGCTCCCACCACTGCACACACATAGAATTTGCTGGGAGAGTTTCAGGAAACACAGACACTCCAGTCGTGGGCTCCACTGGTTTCATTGTTGGGGTGTTTTTTGTTTTTTTTACCACAACTCAATTTTTATGCAGTTGGGGATTTTATACACTCAGGGGTTACTTCGCAGAGCAAAGATTGATGAGAGAGTAAAGAACAAAGCAGATGCTTTTTTTCCCCCTGCTGCATCTTTAAAAAAAATAGAAGAATTTACTATTTGTAAGAGCAGAAAAAACCTCTGGAACTTTCTAGGAGGGAGAGGCTCTCAGGAAACACAGGGTTTAAAGTTAGAATTACTAGATTGCATTTAGTATTTCCAGACAAACCACTTTCATGGAAAAGCTTCATCCATCTTTTGAAGGAGAAAAAAAATAAAATATATATTTATCTCTCCCCCTGGCAGAAGAGTTCAGAGACATCAGTGCATATTAAATAGCATCTGCTGGTTTTTAAAAGCAGTCTTATGACTTATTTCAACTTAGTGGCAGACAAAACAGGATAAGAAGGAAAAATACAGAGGAAAAATCCAGTGGCAAGGAGTATGAGGAAAAAATGCTTAATTTCTTCTAAAACAGCATCAGTAACTTGTGACCAGGATGCAAACTCCTGACCTGAAGGAAAAATTAGCCACAATAATGCTCGAGTGATGGAGAGCATCGATTGCAAACCGTACTGAAACACTGAGAGTGTTTCACCCACCAAGGAAACGAAGGTCAGAGTGACAACAAGGGACTGGGAGCAGTTTGGGGGCATTTTCACATCAGGAGAAAAATTCCCCAGTCAAATATCACCTGGAAGGGATGAGCTGGGACTGAAAACCATCCCCTGGCCCAGGGAGGCTCTAAATGCAGCCCAACAGCCCTGACTGGGGCCGAGCAGCTCCTCTGCCCCCGGTTCCTCAGCCCACTGTCTCCCCACCTTCCCCCTGCTGCTCCTGGAAGTCTCAATAACTGCAGCACTCGTAGCAAATATTTGGCTGCACTGTTGCTTCTGCTCCAACAAGCCTCATCCTTGTCCTGCCATCACCACAGGTATCTCTCCCCAGTGCAGGATCTTTTCCCACCCCTGGGAAGTCCCTCGTGAGCTCACACCGAGTGATTTTCGGCCTGTTCTCGTTTAATTGGAAGGGGTTATTTACTCCATCTAGTTGCCCCGTGTTTTATTAATTATTGTTTTGCACTGTTCTTACTTGTGCAGTCTCTGCATGTTCCAGCATCTCCTCGAATTCCTGGTACTCGTCATCATCGGGTTCAGCACCGGAGAGCCGGGCTGCCCTCGCCATGAAGTAGGGGGGCAGCTCTCCAATGGCTGTGCCAGCACCCTGGGAAAAGAGGAATTCTCATTTATTTTCTCAAACAGAAAACATGTGACATGCACAGTCCTGTGAACATTTCAAATCACTCCAACTGCCGGGACCAGCTGTTTGGAGAGGTTTCCTTTCATCCACCAGGAAAACTTCCCATGATTTCAAACATAACGCTGCTCCTCTGAATCCCCCTTTTTCCTTGTTTAGCTCCTCTGAGGGCAGATCCCACATCCCTGACTCAGCAGGGCCCTGCAGTCTCACCCCACCACATGATCCCAGACACATTCTCCGGCATGTGACAGCCCTTGATCCCGAGTGGCCTCCAAAATAATCTGGGAGCTCCTCCCCGGTGCTGTCATGGAGTTTACTCGTCCAGTCATGAGACTCGGTGCAAGTGTTTATTAGAAAACAGGCTTGAGTTTTACTACAGCTGTGAGCAAGGAAAAAAGGTTAAGCAGAGCTTGATCTCGGGTTTTCCCTCTCCTTCAGACTTCGGAATAAGTGCAGCCAAGAGAAGCCCAGATGAAAGGATGGCTGCTTTTCACCACAGGAAAATTAGATTTGTTTTCTCAGGACATCAAATGACTCATTTCAATCCTGTGGGTAAAACGCAACTTTAGCTTAACCAAGGGGGGAAAAAAAAAAGCAAAGGGAGACAGCTAAGGCTGAACATATGGATAAACAGAGGCTAAGGAAACAGGAACTTGGAATTAAGTGGGGATGGTTTAAATTTAGGGCAGGTAAGAGCCAATAGTTGGGCACTGGCTGGGGGTGTGCCAAGGCTCAGCTCCCCGCAGATGGATTTTCTCCCCGATAACAAACGCTTTTCTCTCCAGTGACAAATGCTTTTTTCTGCTCCTTCTGAAGCTTTTCAGCTTCCTTTGTTCCTGCCCTGTGTGCAGCTGCAAGCAAGAATTCCAGCTGCTGTGCTGATTCCAAATCAACAGGTTGTGGTTTTACAGAGAGCTGCCCGAGCTGTTAAAGCCTCAGTTTAAGCTCACAGAGTGCACGGCCTCGCGTGTTTGTGCCCTTGTTTTCCACAGCAGAAAAAAATTTAAACGGGTGCAACAAGCTGAACTTCATTAATCTGCATATTTCTGGCACGAGGGGAAGATAAGGCTGAAAACAGTAGCAACAACACTTCAGAAAAATTAACTTGAGGTTATGTTCTCAGGGTGATGCAAGAACAAAAAGTCACATTGCTCCTCCAGGCTCTGCCAATTTGCTTTGGCTTCGTTCTGTGAACTGAGGAAGAGGTTTGCATGTGTGTGTACTGGACATGAACTTGCTTTAAATTGGCTAAGTCACATGCTCATTATTACAAAACATTTCAGAAGTGCAGCAAAAAATCATATGATTTCATGTCTGCTGGAGATAGGTTCCTTCAGTGCCCCCCCCCCCCAAAAAAAAAGCAACAATTAAGGGATCCAAAGTATTTAACTGCTTTTGGTAACATTGGCTATTTTCACCATTTAACTCTGAATGCCAGTTTTACAGGGAGATTCCTTGGACTAACAACAAACTGGAAAGGCAAATGCTAATCAAAATTCTTTCACACAAATACATTCAGAAAAGGAAACTGGGAAATGACTCCACTAGAAAGAGTCTTTTAAACAGATTTGATCCTGCTCAGGACACAGGCTGCCTGTTCTGCTAATCCTGAGCAATTAAACACTTTTATTCTTTCCCCTTATTTCTTGTAAAAAGAAAAAAAAAAAAAAAGGCAAAACCCCAAAAGGCTGCAACACATTAAAAATATAGGGCACTATTGAATTCCTTGTCCCTGTGGGATGGGAGGCTGTGAAAACTGGCATTCACCTCTGAGACTGTTCCTGAGAGTCCTTCTGCAGCCAGGGCTGGTGGAGCCAACTCAGAGTGATTGCAAAAAGGCATCATTTTCATTTCACCTCATAATTCCTCGGATGCAGAGATATCTGATCCCTGTAACACCCATTATCAGCACAAATGGCCAGCACTGACGTGCAGGGGATGGACCAGCAAGGATTTTAACCTCTGGAAACCCCTGAGCCTGGCTGAAGTTGGCAGCAGCCACTGCTGCTTTTGTGCTCTGAGTCAAACCCCTCGTGCAGATAAATCCCCACGTTTCAGCCTCGCAGGATCCTCTGCCTGGGCAGCTTTGGTTTGTTTTATTTTATTTTAGTCCCCACTGGGACCGACCTGCTTTCAGCATCTCACAGCAGGACTGTATTGCTGCCACCCTCCTGTCTCCCTCCAAACACAAAGATTGGCCAGATTCCACTCTGGAGCCTTTCAACAAAACTTCACAAGTCTACAGGAAACAGGCTGATCTCCACATACCCAATAATCCCTCAGCTTGTGCATTTATCCAGTATTTATCCCAGCTTCAGATCTCATTAGAAGTTGTTGGCTCCATTGAAAAGAAAAGAGATTTTCTGAGCTCGCTCAACCTCCCCCAGATTAGGAATTAAATTTACTATTCCAGAATCCAGTTTAAAAGCAAAAAATTAGTTAAATTCAATTTTTTATTTGTTTTTTTCCCCCCAAAAAATCAGCCTTTTCACTCTGTGGAATCCCCATGATCTTTCCTGCGTGAGTGAACGTTTAGTTTAAGAGTGACAGAATCAAAAAATAAGTTTCTCCAGCAGCTTCCATAAGAAGCGAACTGGAATTAGGACAAAAGAAACACGCTGGAAGAGGCAGCAGCAGTTGCCAACTTGATTTGGCTTACAGGAAATTAGTGAGCAATGTTTATGTACTCATGAAACATTCCAAGAAAGCATAACATCGCTCGAGACACCAGGGGTAGTCAGAGGATGCTCCCAAGGGAAAAGCCAGTGGAGACAGAGTTCAGTGAGAAGGTAACTCACAGGGAATTCCAAGGCGAGAAGACAAAAGGAGAGGGGGGGGGAAAGAGTGAAAAAGTGGGATACAAACATTCCAGGCCTGTCCTATTCCCTTGTCTTTCCCTCCTCTGATCCAGCTCAGCCAGGAAGGCACTGGTTGTTCTCCCCCGGGGCTGCTCCGGCCCCGAGATTCCAGTGCCTGCAGCTCCATTAACTCATTTCTGAACGACTTCATTCTCCTCATAGCTCAGTTTTTACATGCTGGGGATTAAGCAATAAGATGTTTACCCTGAGCTGCATTTTTTTTATTTTGCAACCCTAGAAACGTAATTGCAAATGCCATTTTTATTACTCTGGTTCTCCGTTAAACAAACTGCAGCACGGGGTGGGGGGGGGAGAAAATAAAAAGAAATCTTCTACTTAGAGGCTTGTAAGTATTTGTATGTTTAGTTTCTTATCAAGGCAATTCTGTGCTCTTGTTAGAAGTGAAATTTAAGGTGTATTTTGCTTCTTGAGAGGGCTTTGAGTCCACTTTCTCTGTTACTATTTTGACTTTCATCTGTAAATTCAAACAACCCAACTGGAATTTTTGTAACTAACACAGCTGCTGAGAATTTAAAAAAGTTGTCATGACCAGTTGTCTTATATATTAAAGAATACAAGGGCAGGCAGCAGATACTTTGTATTTTTAGAATTTCCTCCTCTCTGCATTTGAATTGGACAACCAAGAATTTAGGAATTAAATCATCAGCTGGAGCAGGAAGTCAGTAGCAAAATAAAGTTAATTTGGCATGTAGTTCCCAGCAGATGCATCTCTGTAAACTGCAATTCAAAATAATCCGTGTGGTAATGAAAAAAACATCTTATCTGACCAAAATCCTCCAAAAATTAAACTCCTGCAAGAAGTTGCAGAGAAAAATAAAAGAGAAAAATGGAAAGGAAGTTCCAGGGACAGCGTTTCCTAAGGCCCTGATTCACTCCAAGCTAACCTGCCTTTCCTGTTTGAAGTGCAAAGTTTGCCATGTGGAAACAGGCAGAGAAACAGAAATAAAATACATAAAAATGTGCAGCGTAACACTTTTTTCTTTAATCCAATCTATTGCTGCAAGCCAGAAAAACCATTTCAGCTGTGATTTTAGGCCCTGAATCCTTCCTATGAGCAACTGCAGCTTCACTGCACTCAGATAACTGGAATTATTCCTCATTTAAGTGCAGGCAGGGAGAGCTGCCAGAACATCTGGGGGCCAATCCCCTGTCAGAGACTCACCTTTATACCACCAGTGTTCAAGCACATGAGTTTTCTGCTGGCATTCAGCAGATAAAAGACATCCCAGCAATATCCTGCTCCTCCTCCTTCAAGGACATCAAAACCATCAGGGCTGGCAGGTTCCCCAGGCAACTCTTCTCCCAGCACACCTCACCTCGGGCAGCATAAGCTGCTGTCATTTTGCTAATTTAGGATGTTCTGTGCATTTTTGGACACAGAGTTCAGTGCATAAATGAAACCAGTGAAGTTTTGCACCCCAGCCTTACCCACATGCAGGCCTCCAGCCTGACTTTGGAGATGATGGCCCACAGGGAGATGGATCCCTGGGTGGTTCCCTCGGGGCAGATGATTTGATCCGGGTAAGGAGGCTCTGGGAAGTTCACTGAGTTACACTCATAAGCAGCCAGAGTGACTGATGCTATGTGTGGACCCTGGAAAAAAACAGATAAGTCAATGGTACTTTATGTTATTTAGGATAAAAGTTAAAATTAACCCCCCACACATTCGTCCCTGATGCTAAAATACTTTTAAGGCTTCAACTCAGTGCTTCACCTTTTGGATATTGATAATGTTATATGTGTAAAGGGTTGAGATTTGATTTTTAGATCTGAAATATTTTATATTTATTTATATGTCTGAAGTGCAAAGTTGAGCTGCTTTAAAAAAAAAAAAAAAAAAAAGCTTCTTTTGATCCACTAAAAGGCTGAGGAGCTTTTCAGCTTCTGCCAGGCCCCTGGGTGAGGCTGCCAAGGAGAAATAAGAATAAGAGGTTCCCAGGTTTGTCATAAACGTACGTTACAATTTTAGGGAAGTTTCAACTCCCTTTTTGCATCTGTCCTTGATGACTCAAATAGAGAGATGTGATTTGTTTAGGTCTGACAAACCTGGGAACCTCTTTCTCCACCCAGTGCTGAAACTCCGGGAATTTAATCCCATTCCCTGCTTGCCCCCCCCCAGCCTGGCAGTTCCTGTTGGGACAAACGAGCCATCCCCCTTCAAAGACTGGTTTCACCTGCAGAAATGTGCAATAAACCCCTCCTGAACAGCACATTTGCATGGAGGAGATTCCTCCTGTTTGAGTTGTAAATGCCCATTCCTTCCCTCCCTCGAGAGCCAGGGTGAGGGGGCTGCCAAGGCAGTGAGAGCTGGGGTGGGAATCAAGAAATGTGGCTTTCAGTTCCACAAAATTTGGGAGACACCCTACAACACAGTGTGACTCCAGCCAGCTGGGAGGGGACTCCGAGTTTCAGTTTTAGAATTGAAAAAAAATGGACAAATTTAATCACAGCTATAGCAAGGCCCCCGCTCCTTGTAAGGTTTTGGTGGTGCCATTACCAGCGTTTCATCCCAAAGTGCACTCAGGGAGGGTAAAGCAGATCCCAAAATCTCAGAAGAGCAACGCAAAAATGCCCAACTGGAGCTGCTGCACGAGCTGCTTGCCCTGAGCAGCTTCTCCCATCATCCTGGAAATGGCTTAATGGCCCCAAACCCCTCCTGTGGAGAGCTCTCCCAGTCTCAACAAATGTCTGCAGAGGGGAAAAATTTCACAAGAAGCAGCCAATGGAAAAAAAAGGCATTTCCCCAAACAGCTGTAAATGGCCAAGGAGCCACCTGAAGCCTCCGCCAACGGGCCATAATTCTTCCAGTGCAATGTAAACAGTCCTATAATGGAAAAAAGTTGGAATTATGGAACCCACAGAAGCCACATTTTGACTGGAATGAGAAACAAAGCCCCAACGGTTCACTGGGAGCGATGAAGTGTGGGGTGTTGGACCCCGAGCCGAAGGGAAGCAGAACAATCCGTGCCCTCCCCTCCGTCCCGGGGGTCACACGGACACCATCCCACGGCTCAAAGCAACATCCCAACATCTGCTTCTGTTCCAGCTCAGCTCCCAAGGAGCAGGAGACTTCCCCAAAGCCCTGGTTACCAGGCACCTCCAAACAATGGCTGGCTGGGCAGGCACAGGAGCACGGGAGGGTCGCGGGGTGTTCCAGAACGGAGGTGCCACTTTGCTTGAGGTGTAACAGTAGCACTGGTTTAACTCTGAGGGGAACAGGGAACCAACCTCCAATGGGTTCCAGGTGCCACCTCTGGAAAACCCCTGACAATATCCTCTCCTGTTTTCTCTGCACTCCTCCCTGTGCAGAGGGATTAATTCCCATACAGGTTTTTAATCCTCCTCACAAATAACGCCTCCTCCACCCTCTCCTCCTCCTCCCTGCAGGGCTGCAGGGTTTCACCTCTCTGCAACAGCTCAGTTTGTTTGAACACTTTGGGAAATCCTCTAAGATGTTCCCTTTTGGGCTCTCCCTGTAGCTCTGCCTTTGAAAAGGGCATTTGCAGAACTCCCTCAAAAACCAAACTCCCTCAAACCCCATCGGGGCAGAGAACAAACACCAAGCCCGGGTGATTTCACTGAGGAGCTTCTCGCCAAACCAGGAAGAGTCCCTGAAATCCAAGGCATGTAAAGTCCTGAATGCCAACTGCCTTTCCCTCACCCTCTCCCAATGACTTTTTTTGATTTTATATTGCACTAACAAGGGCTAACAGGGAAGAGATTGAGAAACATTCTGCTGACTCGGGTGAGAAACATTCGCTCGCCACTGCTGACGACCAGAAGGAGCCTGTGGTCAGGCTGGAATGTGATGTGTTAGAAATATCTGTACAATTTACAAATCAAACCAGACAAGATCTGGTCGTGGAGATGAACTCAACATAAATCTGTTTTTTAGCAAGAGCAGTTCAGGGGAGTTTGGAGATCCCTCACGGCACAGCCCTGAGAAGGTAACCTCGAACTCTTGAACTCACAGGCCTTCAAAGGAGTCTTGTTCCAGTGATTGAAGGCACCCAAGTCAGAATGACACAGCTAATCCTCAGAAATACGTTACTTTAAATGCTCTTTTATGAAATTTCTAGAAGGTATAATCTTTTCATCTATAAATTATGCCTGGAAATTCATCCGCAGAAGTAGAAGGAGAAGGCACAGCCACATGTGAAAAAAATCAGGAGCTGCAATCCTTCAAAACATGCTGATCTCTGTAATTCTTACAACAGAAAGTCTTTACCATAAGGAAAAGTGGCTGAATATCCAATTAAAAATGAATCATATTTTCACATTATTAATCATTCTGTGCACCCAGACTGGGAAGTCAATTAAAGCTCTAAACAAGCCCCGTATCAAGTGTTGGTTTCTCACATGCCCCTTCACAGACTGCACAAGAACAACTACATCTAATTTTAACCTTTTATTTTGGAGGAAGATGTAATTTTAGACTGGCTTTAATTTAGCAACATTTCTCAAAGAAAAGTGATATGTCTGCCAGCAAGAAAAATATGACACTGAACTCCTTGCTGAACTTAATGCACTAAAAATCTGTTTTCCTCTGCTTTTCACACTGGGTTCAAGACTCAGCCCTTCCACAGGGGGGGAACATGTCATGCTATATTTGATTAAGATATATTGGAAAAACAAAAGCTTGCTTCTCATGGGAAACATCCTGCGAGTGCTGCCCCAGGCCACGACTCATCCCATTCTTATCCATGAAGTCATTACACCTCTCCACAAAGTCACAGCACGGCCCAGCCTCGCGTTTATCTCCGACGGCAGCGCACCACTACCCACAAAGAAATCTGCTGGGTGATTAAGAGGGAAAAGCTTGGTCTGGAGGTGGCTGGTAAATATGTCCATCCAGTCTGTCTGGCTGTGTCGGGAGATTAAAATGTCTCATGATTTTCTCTGATGTCTGGTATATGGGGCTGGCTGGAGACGGGCGAAGGATCCCGTACCTGGAGCATCCTCGAGTGCCACAGACCCCACCGAGTGCTCAGGGCTGGTTGTGCCAGACCAACACAACCATTTCAAGCCGTGGATTAATTTTACCACCACGTGGCTGTTGGTTTCTATTCCCCCTTCAGCCAGGCCTTGCCCCAGAGCACAGAGCTGGTGGAAATTCCAACCCGGCAGCCACAAGCTCTGAAAATGAGTGGACAAGAAGCAGGGGGAGCAGGCACGTGGTGCCACTGTCTGCTCACCAGGGCCACGGTGCTGCTCTGGGGAGAACATGAAAAGCAGATGCTTTGTAAGGCTGTGCCCATGCTGCTTTCTGTAGGAGCAGAGAGACCCGTGCAGGGCAAGGCACAACTGGAGGAATCCAAGTTTATCCTCCGGTGCTGACAGCAAACAAAAATAATTTGTCAGAATTCTCTCCTTGCCCTTCCTCAGCCACCCATCTTACTAGCTCTGAGGAATAATCACAACATGCATTCAAACTGACACTGCCAGTGATGACTGGCTTTAATGTCTCCAATTAGAGGTCGCTTTGCATAATTATCGTTATGTCCAACCTGCTCAAGGAAGTAGTGACACAAATAAGGATAAAGTTCAGGCTGTGCATTAAAAAAAAAAAAAAAAAGCAGAAACTCCAAGGCAGCAAATGAGGAGAAAGCACAATGTGCCCTCCTGGCAGAGATCTGAGACACAGAACCGGCAGGAGGAAGTGGGGAGCAGATAAGGAAAACACGGCGTCAGCACCTTGAAGGTAAAGTCCATCAACCTTCAGGAGGAAGAAAAGGCTGCAACCACCCTCCTATTAACTCCTCCACTATCCTCCTGCCTCCTCAGCCTGTGCAAGTTCAGGTCCCTACAGCTGGCTCAGCACAGCTTAAATATTACTGTGACATCAGTATTTTGTGGCCATCTGAGAAGTCCAGGGCAGCTTTGCCTGTGCAGACAGAGACACCTCACATGAGCTGTGTTTTGCCACAGTTCCAGCTTTAGATAAGCCCTCCAGACTCTGCCCTACGCCCTGGAAGCCGTTTATGGACCTCCCAGTCACCCCAGTCGGGCTCTGAGTCACGAGCTCTGGCAGTTCTCAGAGGGGCACTGGGGGAGGTTTTTGCTTCCAGCTGCTCCACAGTCCCTGAGCCGAGCCCACAACTGGCCATATCTGCTTGGCTTGTGCCCACAGAACCTAAACCACCCTCAGCTTCAGCTCCTGTTAAGGTTCAGGGCTCAGCTCATCTCCCAGACTGAGCTGCACCACTCACAAGGGCTGTTTTTGCAAAGCCTGACCTAAACCAGCAGTGCTGGTTTTACTCTCTGCAGGTATCTTGGGTGTCTGACACATCCACGGGAGCACTGAGAGGGACCAAGACTCTACACCAACATTTTACTCCTTGAAAATGCCACTTTTCAGCTCAGATTTCTAAAGTGCAAGCAAGCCACCAGAAGGTTTGAGACACCCAGGTCACACAACTAATCCAGCAGCAGTGAGTGTCCAGCTTAGTTCCCCAGACCCCTCCAGTCCAGCAGTGCATTATTAATACCAGTGCTGCAGTTCCAAGCCCAGGTGAGCTGCAAGCAGGAGTTCCTGTCGAGAGAGCCAGCAAAAGTGATTTTTTTTTTTTAAACTTATATCTTGATTCAAGTATTCCAGGATATTTCAGTTCATTGTAGAAAGCTTAGGACAGCTGGAGGAAGGAAAGGCACAAAGGAAACAACTGACAGACTAAGAGTCACAAACAACCCCCACACAAACAGGCTCCATTTCAACTTATTTTGGACTTCATTTCTGTCTTTCTGCACCCTCCATGTATTTTTCTCTCCACTGCCTGAGCAGTTCAATAGCAGTAATCTGAGCACAGATATTAGACCAAACCACTTATTTCCTTTGTTTTAGGCTTGCAAGCTGCCATGTGAATTGGAGAGCAGGAAGGACTGGGAATGAACACCTCACTTCACACAAAGAATTCAGGGCTGGGAAGGGGGAGCAGTGCTGCACCTCCCACCTGGCTGAGGCAGCTCAGCTTTTGTTTCTCACTTTTTCCTTTACACACAGAACCCTTTGGTTTTTCTGGGTTACAGCAGTTTGGAATGGTCCACACGGAAAGAGTAAAACCTCTCCTGAAGCTGATAATCTCTATGAAAATACTCCTGTATTAAAGTCACAAGTAAATAGAGGAAAAAAATGAGAGGAATTTCTGTGGATTTCCAAATTATTCTGTCCACTTCATAGAAGTGGAGCAAACCCTGCTTTGTGAGCTTTTCTTTTTAGAGGGACTTAAGTAATTTTATCATGAGTGTCCTTACAAGCTCAGCTCCTGGAACCAGAGAACTAAAAGGAACTAAGTTTGATTTGAAAAACTTTTTAAGTAGTCCTGGCAGGAAACAGTTTATTTGTGTGGGTTTGTTTTTCTTATAATTATTTACACCAAAACAATTTTTTTTTCCCCCAGGATAATGGACTCATTATTGCACAAGTGTCTGGAGTTTAAATCTTCAAATTCTAACCTAAACCAGTTTGGGCAGGGCCAAAACACGACTCGTTTCAGCTGCAAACGACACTTTTGAGGCCAGAATGTGACCCCTCAAGGCCAAACCCGGAACCGATTCAGAAGGAAAGTGAGACACCGAGGCCCGAGGCCCAGCTAAACCCAGCTCTGTAAGGCCAGTGCCTTTCTGACTCACTGCTCCTTCAGGGCACATTTCTGCTCTGAAACCTTTGCTGTGCTCTCTCCCACCCTGGTAAGAAGTAGTGGCTTTTAGTGACAAAGCCTCGTGTTCCAGCTGTGGAGGCCTGGGCACACGAACCATTCCCGTTGTCCCTCCAGTTTCCTGTTTGCTCACCCACGGCCCTGCCACGGCACACACCCCTGCAGCATTGCCCCACTTGGCTCTAGAGCAGCAGCAGCAGCAAAGATCCACATTTAAGGACCAAAATCACAAACAATCCAAGAGCCAGAGCTCGCTCTGCGCTCTTGACCGGTGAGGAATTCGCTTCCATTCATCCCGGCCCGGACTGGAACATCCACACACAGAGGGGATGTGACTGAGCGATAACCACTCGTCCTGAGCTCATTTTGCCTCGGCCACATCTTTCACAATCCCCTTCCCAGAGCTGAAGTGAAACCAAAGCACAGGCAGAGCACGGAGAAGGGATGGCCATAGCCCACGATCCCAGCCCAACACTCCACCTCCTGTCCCTGCTCCGGAGCCCCCGGCACCGCCACCTCATCCCGTCATCGTCCACCTCTCCGAGATGTACAAACACCAGAAATTCCTGACGAGCTCCCCTCAGTCATCCTCTGTTGGTGATGAGGTGATTCATGCAGCTCATATTTTCATATACCACTAAGAGAAGAGAAAACATCTCAAGACTGAGGAAAGGGCTGTGCGTGCGCTGCTAAAAACAGTATTTAGAGTCATCAATCATAATAGTTTTATTTCCTACAGAACCACATCATGATCACTATTTTTAAGGGCTGTTTTTAAAGAATTGTGAAAAACCTTTAATGGACTTGAGGAAAAGAAGCCAGCAGACTTGTTTTGAAAGTGTCAGAGTGAGAAGGATTCTTGGAAGAGTGGCCTGCTTCCCTGATCTGCTCCGTGCCAGCCCTCAGCTCGGTGCCAAGTGCAGCACGAGGACTGCTTCCCAAAAAGCCATGTCAAATCCTACATTTAGTGCTGGCTACAACTAAGGGAGCAGCATTAAACTAGGAACTAGCATCACAGACAACGTTCAGGCTCTTTGTAACATACAGAAAGTTCCTGAATCGCAGCAGCAGCAGGAAAAAGCCTGTTATCAAACACACAGAACTGAGCTGTCCCTCTCACAGAGATGTTTGGAGAAAGGACTGGTGAGCAGAAAAAAAAAACACAAATCAGATGTGAACCAAAATGAACCTGGGGCAGAAACACCCCTCCCACACTGAGGCTGCTTCAAACTGTAAATTCTACATTAAGCAAACTGCTTCCAAGTGCTCTTTCCTCAGCTGAGCCCGGGATCTCTCCTGGCAGTGGAGCACATGTGGCTCCAGGGAGCAGCTGGTGAGAGATGCTCTGAAGAATCCAGACAAATGAAGGTTTTCAACACTGGAAAAACAGCTAAGCAGGCCAGGGAAAGCAAACATGAGAGTCATTCATATGCTGCAGCTCTTGCATAACCACTCCTGTGACCTGCCCAGGCTGGGCTGGGGACCAGTTTGATATGGAAATCCCAGATACAGTAACTGGAGGGGTGTATTGAATCCAGATGCACCTGTGGGACGGCTGGAGGAGTCTGAACAGGTGCCCACATGCCATCAATTCCTAAATGTGCCCTTCATGGCACAAGACAAGGCTGCAAGACTCCACACGAGCTCAGCAGCACATGGGTGGGCCCAAGGGCATTGTTCTCCCAGCATGTAATTGCATTCCCAACAATCTCCCTGTACATCCAGCTTTAAAATGAGCAATTAATTAAAGGCAATTTGAAAACACTTACTGACTCTGTTCTCTACTGCCAGCAAATCCAGGCACTAGAGCAGGGGTGGGTTTGCTGTTTTGTAACTTCTCACTTCTTTGAGTCAGCAGAAGTTTTAGCATAATGAAGGAATGCAATTAAATTATACGGAACATGAAAAATAGAGAGACAATAATGCAAAAGTTAATGTGGTGAGTTCCACACTTAACCTGCCACATCTCTCCTTTCAGAGGGAACTGCTGTATAAACAAGAAAGCAAAACAGCTCGGAATCCCTCCCTTTGAAAGCTCCTAATTGCTTTGTTTCTAGAAGGGTTAAATCCAGAATACCACCCTGAAATACTTTTCCCCCTGGAAGTTGCACCAGCAGCCTCACATTTAGCACTTTGTGTTCCCTCTCCCACAGCTCCGAGCGAGGAGATATCGAGCAGGGTATCGAGCAGGGTATCGAGCAGGGTATCGGGAGGAGAGAACATATCCCAGGTACACAGAGCTGCAGTGACAGGAATATTCCGAGTTCAGGCACTGAACACGGTTTTTAAGGCCCTGCACTTCTGTTCTTACACCCCCTCTGCCATCTAGTGGCAACAACCTCCTGGGTTGCACCGAGGTGCAAACCCCGCGGTGCTGACAGGCCTCCAGTGCCCAGAGAGCGTTAATGCACCAGGATTCCTCCTGCAGTGTCACACGTTAGATGTTGATGGTACATTTTTAGCACGTTTTATTCTATAAACACCTTGTAATTCTGTCTGTTTTCCCCCCCTCCTCACAAAGCTACGTGAAACATTCCCTCTCGTATTCCAAATAAATACCTTCCCTGACAATAGTAAACTCAGTTTCTTTCCCAGTAATCTTTGGAAGGCTGTTCACCTGCTAAACAGCCCTCATAAATTCGACTGATAAGACCACAGAGAAGTTATATTTTCTACATATTTCTGTATAAGTTACTTCAGTGTCAGCTCAGGTCACGGCCTAAACACATCCAAGAGGCTCACTCACACCCCCCACAGGATAATGGAAGTGATATATTATGGAATTTAATTTTCCCAAATGGAGGTAATTTAGAATTATTTAAACACGTGGATTTTCAAACACAGGTCCTTTCCCTGTGCTTTCTGCCCCCACAGTCTTTAGGACAGAAGCTACACCAAGACTAAGTCTGAGGCTCCTGCAGATGCCATCCCATATTCCAGGCACTGCCCTGCTGTGGGGAGAAGCAGGAGTTTCTTGTTTCTTGGAGTGTTTTCTGTGTTATTGTTAATGATTAAAGCAGCTCTGAAAGTAAACATCTGTAATTGTTCCAAATACAAGACGACATTTGCTGCATAAACTGGTTTTAATTATTTTGTGGCCATGAATCTTTTTCTTAAATCCAGGACAGTGGTTTCATAAACCAGGAACTAATCCAATGGCCAAAAGCAAAACACACCCAAACATTTCCCTGACTTTCTTAGCTGAGTTGAGATAAACAACATCATACAAATTTTCAGAAGTTACTTTATCTTCATAGAAAAACATTTTTCTTCCCATTATTTTCAAAGCAAAATTAACACAGACCAAACTTTAAACCAGCTGCCTATTTCAGTGGCTTCAGTTAGAAAAATGATCATTTAAATAGGCTGAAAAACTTCACATGGAAACATTTGAGCTGCACACACTAGAAAACACTTCATTTAAATCAGGGAATTAAAAGGCCAGAGCTTGCAGATTTTGACTCAGTGTTTCAAAGCGAGGATTAAACAGCAGGTTAATATCTCCAGATCAATAAACACAGAGCTTAAAAACTACAAAACCAGGTGACACAGTACAGAACATGACCAGCATTCACTAGAGCCCAGAGACATTACACTGAGTGCTTATTTTCCTTTAGAAGTACTTCACGTTCAGGACTTACAGAATATTTATTTATTCACGTGTTTTAAAATATATAATCATTAAAATGCTCAATTCAGAAAGAACACAGTGTGGAAATATCCTTACCAAATAGAGCAGAAAGGTGTGGAGACCTGTTCCAAGGCCAACAGAGGACAGAATGCCCAGTCCTACCCAGTAGGCACACCAGAAGAACTTCTTCTCCATATACCTCACATACTGAAAAAGGAGTCACAAAAGAGAAAAAAAAAAGCCAATTATAATATCTCCAAGGGAGAAAATCAAACCTACAAACTAACACAGACATTTATCTGGGTGATAACAGCTGAAAATTTGTTCCAGTTACAGCACAGACATGGAAAAGCCCCCCCATCTGGGAATCAGCAAGTTTCCAGGGAGACTGATGAAAATTCAGGTTCAATGGTAGGAGGCTGAAATCCAGAACAGGAAAACTAGGTGTGAGTGGTGAGCAGCAAGCCCCAGACAATGAGCAGAGAGCCTGATTAAATAAAGGAATAAAATTATCTGCACTCCCAGTTAGTCTGTGGAATGTTTCATCTTGGACCAGTGAGTAGCAGGTTTGGTGCTTTTAAGAAAAGATGTAAAGGTTGGTTGTGTGCTGCACATGTAAATCAGGGGATATGGGAAAGCCACTGCAAATTCTGGGCATCAAAAGTCCAGTTGGATACACTGGAGCAAAGGGAAGCAGCAGCTCCCTCTCACTCCTACGAGAGCAGCACTGGGAGGATGAGCCAGGCCATGAGCTTGTCTGCATCACAGCCCCCAGAAGAGACAACTGTATATTTTTTATATTTTATATATACCCATTTTACACCATCCACAGACCAACAGCACTAAGGTGAAGTTTACACCAGTCTTATCCAGGCTCCGACCTGCCAGGGTGCAAAACCATCCTGAAAATGCCAAGTGAACATGACTGAGACCACCCAGAGCAGAGAGTTCTGGCTGGACAGGCTTGGATTTATTTTCCATCAGGAACAGGCCACTGATTTACCATCTCCCAACGTGCTCTGCCTGGAAGTGCTCAGGTCTCGAGCTGGGATTGAGTGAGCACGAATGGGATGGGCTCAAACATCTCATCTCACTGCCTGACTGAAAGGGTGGTCAGGAATTCCCACCCCCGGGAGAGCTCCAAAGGCACTTGGGGATATGGCATTGGACTTGATGATTCTGGAGGTCTTTTCCAACCTTAATGATTCTGTTATTCTACGATTCTGTGATTCCCAGAGCCACCCTGGGAAGCCAGGAGTCCTGTTCCTGACCTGCCTGTCCCTCAGGCAGCCAGTGACACACCACCACGGATGGAAGCAGGTTCTCTCAAACTGGGACCCTGCTCACTTCAGAGCTGGGAAGATGGCTCAGTTGCCCAAGGAAATGGGTTTAAAAGGGCAAATCTGACCCTCAAGGAGCAATGGCGAGGGGAAAGGTGCAGACACCACCATCACCTTATGCTTGAGCAATGTCTTACACTTCCAGTGATGCAAAAGCCTTTGCGTTCACCAAAGCTCAAAAAAGATTTTAAACAACCATTTGAAATTAATGGGGGTATGAAAAGCATCACAGAACCAGATCTGAACCATGAAGCCATTTTATACCTCTATATATACCTGTCCTAACTGGTCAGGAGACCCTTCCATAGGAACAGAAGAAACAATTTCTTGGGAACCGCCAAGTTCTACCATGACTCAGTTTAACGTCATCCCTCAAGAGCTCCCACCACTTGTTCCCAGCAGATGTGAAGGAGTGCTCAGCATCTGAGGTGTCCTTACTCAGAGCAGACGAGAGGTGGAACACCCACAGATCCAACAGAACAGACCAAACCATGCAACTCATCCTCCCTGAGCCACAACTCATCCGCACACAGTCACGACACGGGAGACAAACCCTCAGCAAGCAGTTCAAAAGACACATCATAATTCCACCAAGATCCCATTCAGGGAGAAGGAGCATTAGTCACCCAGGAAAGCAGCTTGGAAGTCTCCTACCTGCTGATGAGCTCCCTCGATGTAGTAGGTGGCTGTGAGCGTGGCCAGTGCCAGTAAAACACACACCAAGATGCTCCGCCGGTGCCACAATCTTAAAGACAAATTGGCAGTTAGGGTTTGTCATCCTGACCATGCACTTCAAAGCAACTCAGCTGTCCCTGGAGACTGGCTCTGCCTGGGTGCAGTCAGCAGGGATGATGGCAATGAGGAGTTTGCCCTAATGAAAGCATAAACCCCCCAGGAAAATATCTGGGGAGCCTTTGCTCTTTGGGGGGGAATCTCTGCTTGGCCGTGGAGCAAGATCAAAGTTCAGCCGCACATAGTTTGGTGTTTTTAAAGAAAGAAAAACAAAGTAACTGTCTGCAGACAAACACAAAGTGAAAACAATTCAGCCTCTGCAGCCAAGAGTCAGGCACAGGCCCTGAGCAGTGGCAAAGCAGGCCCTGGGCAAGGAGGGGCCAGGGGGATTCCCAAGGGCAATTCCCAGCTGTGCTGGGGGCACAACCACAGGGACAGAGGAACACCCCTTTACATTAGTTTGGTTCCCCTGATCTATTGAAATTATTATCTCTTAGCAGCTCCAAGTTTCATAAATACGTTTAGTTAATTATGAAGTTACTGCAGTAAAGGGAGAAAATGTTTTCCAGTGTAATTTGCTACCAAATCACTTTTGAGCCTGTTTGGTTCTACTGTTTGTTTTTTTTTTTTTCTGCTTGACGTTTATGTGGCCACACACAGAAGATTAGCAAATACATTGATTATTTTCTATTATATTGTCACTAATGATATCTAAAAAAGCAAGAGCCGGCATCACTTAACATTCTCAGACTATAACAGCAAACTGTGAACATAACTTATCTAATCAGACAGGGAAAGACAGAAATAAGAGACAACACAGGAAAACAGTCACAAATGTTTCATATTAAGTAAACTGAAAAAAGCACTCAAATTATTTTAAAATTAAAGTTAGTGCTGCTTACATTAGTATGACAATTGGATTTTCAAGTGATTGCCATTTAAGTCACAATTTATGCAATGGAACACAGGAGATCATTAAGAGTCAATCTGAGGTCTCAACTTAATAGCTTATAATAGTCAGGGTTATTTTCTGTAAAGACAACACCAATGTGCTGCTCAGCAGAGGAGGCAAGTGCTGCCTGTAACAGTATCTGATGTCTAGGAAGCCAAATAAGATTTGAGGTCTTAAAATAAATCCTCAAATGTTATTTCTGCTGGGTTTAAATAAAAGCTTGGGGGTTGTCAGAAATGGCTGATGTCAGACCCAATAAAACAGTTCTCAGAGACAACTCACGGTAGCTGAAAGAATGCACAGAGGGAAATAAGGAGATTTTCTGGGGGGTGAAAAAGGGGATTAAGACTGCACTACATAAACCTGGGCTTTTTCATACAAATAATTTCCAAAGAAAACGGAAAGCAGAAGTTTCTCTGGGTGAATCTGACGTATGAGCACCTCAAACCCAGCCCAGAGGTTTGAGCACAACCTTCAGCACCCGCCTGAGCTCGCTGTGCAGAGGAACAGCCCCACAGCTGGAATCACCCAAGGGGGGGATCAGATCCTGCCTTCTCACTGGGAAAATGTTTGTAAACTCAATCCCAAACACAGCAGAGCCCAGGCATCAACACAGGCACTGCGTGGCTGCTGCTCCTGGCATTGTCCTCATGTTTTGGCACCTAAACCCCCGAGCCTGGTGCACTAAGAACCAGCTCTGCATTTCAGCACTAGCAGGGAATGGTAGGACTGCTCCTCACACATTCTCTCACTGGAATAAAAGCCAATTTTATCCAGTGTGAAAATAACACTCGGGGAAAGTGCTTCAATAAATCATTTCCTGCCGGGAAAGGACCCACAGAGAAGCAAAGTCCTCTTTGCAGCACCATAAACATCAGAGCAAGTTCAACCTAAGCCTGACCCCTGCCCTGGCTGAGCTGTTTGGAGATCAGTCAGTGACACCAACACCTACATTAATAGGTCAGTATTTAACACTGCAGCCACAAGTACAGTAACTCTTGCCTCAAGGATCCCTAAACACTGTCCCACTCCTTCAAACTGGAATAATAAAGTTTGCAGTTTTCTCCCATGGACACCTCACTGCATTTATGTAACTTGGGCACAAGGTCTGAGTGCACAGCTACAAGTGTGGTGTGTTCCAAAGCCACCTTTAAGGGACGAAAATACACGTTTTCTGGAAAAAAAAAAAAGAATTTTCAAGTTGTGAATCACGAGGGAAAGTGAGATGTCAGAATGACCTACTGAATCAGAGCATGGGTTTCCCCAGAATGCTTAGTAGAAGTTAAAGAAATGATCTTTACTTTATGGTCCATTCCTTCAAGTTTATTAGAGTTTCCAGGCAAAAATACTGCAAGGTAACAAGCGGTTGTTTCCACAGGACAATGTTCAGCCTCTCCTCCCGCTCCCTTCGCTTCCGTTCACTCAACACAGAGGAATCTGCAAGGGGAAAAAAGACAAAAAGAAATAAAAATAAATAAATTTAAAAAAATAATCAGTAAAAGCACAGGTTTGCAGTTCAGGTTCTACCCCACCCAAAAATATATTGATTTTTTTTTTTAACTTGTTAGGAAGTTAATGTGAGCTCTCAGCCATCTTTTCTACTCTCACAAAGCATTTGCTCCCAGTGCCTCGGGAATGTCCAGCACAGGGAATAGGGTGGTTTGTTCCTCCGTGTAGGTGACAACGATTCAGAAATCTAACTTAGCTCAGGGTGCCAAAGGTCTGGCATCTCCAGGAGCCTTTCCTGCACTAGGAGTTAAAACCAGCAGGTCAAATGTGACTTTAGCACTGCAGAGAACACATTTCACCCTGAACTTTTGAGAGGGTTCTCTTCCAAGGGAGCTATTCCGGAGTTCTCCGACGGAGCTGGATTGAATTACACGGCTCTGCATCCACTGCAGCCTCCCTGTAACTGGATAACAGCACCTGCCTCCCAGGCAGGACCCTCAGGGAAGCCTGGGCACACTGTTCAGCTTCTCCCAAGGTGCTCCCATGGAAAGGACCTGCTTTTATATATATATTTTTATATATATTCCTTGCACTGACACTACACATGCAGCTGGTTTTACTGATTTGGTTGTAACAGAGCTCAACACAGCTCTGCCACAAAAGTACAGGAGAAAGGTTCTTCTAATGAAAGTGTTATTTTGTGCTTAAAACAAGTTGAATAAACCCCCAAACCCCAGCTATTTCTCGGATCAGAATGGCTTGTTCAAAGGTCGTCAGGCTAAAAAGCAGTAATAACTCTTCAACTTTTAAAGAAAAGGAATTCTGAGAGAAGAGGAAAAAATACCACTGAACAATGGAAAAAACACACAAAAGTAACCCTTGTATCCAAACAGACACCAAACTTGTTTAAGCATCCCTTACTACACAGTCAAAACACACGTGTTCTGTTTTGCACTGTAATATTCAGACATTTTAAGGCTTGGAAAAAGCTGTTGCATTTAAAATATTAATCTAAGCTGAATCCCCAGCACATTGTCAGCCAAGATGTATCATTTCAGTCTTATCCCAGGAACTGGAACATGCTGCCTTATCAGATATTTGCACAGGAATTGCACACCTTGTTAGTCACACAGCCCATTCCAGTTTGTGTTCCCCCCAAAAAATCAGCTGCTTTAGGTGAACTAACAGAAATCCTACAATGGCAAATCCTGGATAACACCCACATTCCCCCAGAGTTACAGAATGATCTAAGCCTTTAAGTAAAAAAGGCTTTGATTTGTTCCTTGCACACACACACACACAATTAATATTTAAATTCTGCTGCATTCATTGCCTCATGAATTTCAATTCTCTGCTTTTTCGCTCAATGCATGCAATAAAAATGCTCCAACCTTGTTTTTTACGACCTTGTTTTTGGTAAAGGTCATAAAAGACAATGGGGTAAGACTGCACACAACTTGAGAAATCACTTGATTACAAAACTTAATTAATATGGAACTGGCACATCGGAAGGATGACAGGAAACAAACCGAGATGATTATAATTTCCATGCTCTCCTACCCAGCACGGATCATTCAGTGACACAAAGCTCTTCAATAAAACGTCTTTGGCTTATTTTTCATGAGTTCCAAACATCAACCCCAGGCCACTCCAGACACACCAGCAGGAAAAACAAGAGGCAAGGCAGGAGGTGAAGCAGTTAAAACTGTTTTGTTGGTCATTCATCATGGAAACCCAATAAATTACAGAGAAGCTGAATTTCAACAGAAGAGCTAGAAATTGGGAGAGTAATAACTGGATTTCTCCCAGAGTAAAGCAGATTTTTATGACCAAGTCCTGACTTTTCAGTGCCAAAGGGTGGGGCTGTACAAAGTCTGACTTCTGCCAACAGAGTTTAAGTTTTTAGCTCAGCCCTGGTGCAGCCCCTGTTGGTACCCAAGGCAGCTTTACAGGGCTGAAATGTGGCTGAACTACAGAACGACAACTCTGGGAGAAGAAAAGAGCGTCAGAGAAATGGGGATGGGAATATAAATGGAAAAATGGAAGCATAAAACTATTCCATGGCTTTACAATGCATAAATCCTGCAGACTTGAGGCTTAGAGATGACTGAGGCTCCCAAGACTGATTCAGGCCTTGAGGCCCTTCACATTATGGGGGGATGAAGTCACTGAATCACAGAATCCCAGACTGGTTTGGACTGGGAGGGACCTCAAAGCCCATCTCATTCCAACCTCCTCGTGCCACTCACAAGATCAGGTTGCTCAGGGCCCAACAAAGTGCACCCACATCGATTCCTTTTCAACGTTATGTTCATTTTAGACCCCCAAGTGCCCAGCTGAGCACCCCAGGTGAGCCCCCACCTACCTGTGAAGTTGCCATTGTGCTGCTCTTTGCTCATTGCTGTGCGTCTCTGGTCACAGTCTGTGCCATTCTCTGCCATCTCATAGATCACTCACGGTTGGGGATCTAAAGCAGGGGGAAAGCAAAGAGCACAGTGGCTGCTTTTGGTTAGGAAGGCTCCATGAAGTCCACAGTCAAAGGATCCAGCAGTTCTCCCAACCCAAATCCCAGCTACCCTGCATTACACCACCGAACGGGAGAACGTGATTCAATTCCCACAATGACAGAGATTCAAACATTCCCACCTACGGAATTCTAAATTTTTCACTCAAATGACAAAACTCCCTCACTTGTAACAACCCCACAAAAGCTCCTTAACAATCCCTTCCGTGACCCAACCCACTGTTTGGGCTCCAGGAGCAGCAGAGCTTCCCACAGACCTCACTCCAGTCCTCGGAGAGGTGCTTCAGATGGTTCTCACCCTGGCACTGAGCTTCAGGTGTGCAAGGAGAGCTCAGAAACCTCCCAGCCTGAAAGCTTAACCCTCAGCTGGTAACTAAGATACGGAGCTGCAGCTCCTCTTTGCACAGTCTGATCTCTGTAAACCAGAAAAGGCAAACTCTTCAGAGGACAAGAGCTGTGTGAGGGGAGGCCCTTGTGAAAATGTCCATTCTCTCTGCTGGCTCAGCCCTAAAAACCCAACAGAACAGCTGTGGTTTCCCTTATCCAGGAGAGTAAATAGTGCAAGAACTAAAAGCCAGCACAAACCAGAATGTTGCAAGAGCTTCTTTTTTTTTTTCCTCCTCAAAAAAAAAAAACAACAACCCACCTCAGACCTGAAGTGCTGACAATTCTTATGCAATCAAACACACAGAGAGTGGCCAGTTGGACTCCTTGCTTTAAAAACCCTCTCTTGAATCTTAAAAGAGGGTCTGGAATTTTATTTTGGAAAAGAGGGTCCCCCAAAGCTAAAGCATCTTATCTGCACTGCATTTCTCCCTGTAAGCAAACGTGATCTACAGTTTTTGATATGCTGCTTTTGTTGGAAAGAACAGTAGTGCAACATTAAAATGACAGGTTATATAAAACTGTCCAGTGGAGGAAATTAAACTTCTACAGAAGAAATACTTCCCCTTTGATTTATGCTGGGCTCAAGGGCCAAGCAGCAACTCAGGTTTGGTAAACAGGAGTGAGATCACCCCCTTGATTCAGACTGCAATAATTTTTGTCACATTTTAAAATAAAATGTTCAAAGATTTCAGACACTGCATTTAATATTTCCAGGGTTTCACAAGTCAGTTTTAGACAGATGTTCTTCCAGGCAGGTACAAGCCTTGTGCATTACTTGTAGTACACACAGAATTGCTAGATAGAATGTGATTATTAAAGGGGTTTTTAGTTAAAAGTCAGTAGTCAAAAGCATCAAGGTCCCAAGGAGTCCTTCCTCCAACACCTCCTCCTGACATGAAATGTGCAGAAACAGAGCTCTGCCTAGTTAAACCAGCCAGCAGAAACTAATCTCAGGCATGTTAGTTTTTATTCACTGCAACTGGAGCCCCAGAATACCCAAACCACCAAGAAAATTAATAAAAGTTATTAAAAAAAGCAATAAAACACAGTAATAAAAAAGCCTGCTCGTGAAAAACGCCAAGGGCTCCACAGTCAGCCAAGGACAAGAGGAATGACCTGCTGCAGTGGGAGCTCTACAGCATCACTGCAATCACCTGCAATCCAGGGATTGCTCCCAACTGACTGTCAAATTCCAGGGAAACGTGATCCTCTCCCTCTCCTCGGGTCACTTCAGGGCAGCCTGGCACTCTGCAAGTCAGGGGAGTTACCCCAGCACTCAGCTGAGGATGGCAATACAGGGATCAAATGTTCAGCCATCCCCTCATTCCACCAGGACACGAGTCCCTGGAGATGGGGGAGTGCTTTATTTCTACTGACTGCACTTACTTGTGCTTACCTTTGCTATATATTTAAATATCTATTTAAGAAAACTTATATATCCACATTGTGTATCGCACACAGGCATCACACACATTTGCACACACAAAGCTCCGACTGCAGAGGGGAATATTGGGATTGGACCCCCACAGATACAAACCCTGATGTCCACAGGAAGCAAAAACCATCCAGAGATGTGCACACAGCCACACAAGAGAAAAAAAAAAAAAGAGTGTTCTGGTTTAGGGAACTTCAGTCACATTTTGTTGACTTAAATAGAGCAAACATTAAAAAAAAAAANAAAAAAGAGTGTTCTGGTTTAGGGAACTTCAGTCACATTTTGTTGACTTAAATAGAGCAAACATTAAAAAAAAAAAAGGGCAACAAAAACTTCAGTGGGAGCCACACGTTCCTCATTTTGAAATCCACCTTTTTTTTTCCGGGTGCAAATCCAGCCTTCAAAGTTCAAGTCTCGGTTGGTTTGGTCTCTGCTCTCAGCTTCATCACACTCCAAGGAAGTTCACAGCTTGGAATGCAAACTGCTCTCCACACCTGAAGCTAAAAGCCAGGCTGTGCACAACACAAATCCCACTGAAATCCATGAAATTCCTCCATGCCTGGGGGTCTCAGGTGTTGTTCCAGAGGTGTGACAGCTTTCAGGAGCTCCACTCCCAGAGCCACTCCTCCCCTGCCTGCTTGGCAGGGCACTAATCCAGGATTAGCTTTGCATAACACCTCCTCAAGCACACAAGTCAACATTTACAGTAAAGCAGAGAAATAATCCCCTTCCACACTTGTGCAGGGGGAATACTTGGGAAGGAGGCCTCGAGGTTCACCCACCCTGCAGAGAAGCTCTAAAAATTCCTGTTTAAAAATCCAGCTGACTTGGGAGAATTGGACTCCTATCATGTGGCAACTCAGAGAGCAAACCTTTCCTGGTTTTAGGAATCACCCCCTGGTTTACCCAGGTCTAATTATACTTAAATCATCTTAGCACAAGGGGCTGGAGGAGGCACATCCAGCAAGCTCAGGGCTCCTGATCTGCTGTGCTGATTGATGCCTGTTGGAGTCACTAGTCCTGCACTAATTCCTCCCCACAGGGATTAAATGGAATGGGAGTCTGCCCCAAAATGGAGTCACCCTTCATTAACTGAGCCCACATTCCCAAGTCTACACCCAATCCATGAGAGCTCACCACAGGAAATTAAATCTCAGCTGCTAAACAGAACTTCACTTGCTGACTGAAAAAAAAGACAAGAGTCCATCCCTAAATATAAGTTTGCCAACTGCACGGAGTAGTTACCAGCAAACACAAAAATAAACTATTTAAAAGAGAGAGGAAAAACAACTGTGACCAGTTTTTGTAGCAGGGTGGCTTAGATCATTTGTTAGAGCTGTGCTCACACAAGAACTGCTTTGTAGGGCTGCACAAAGAGCCCACAATACAGCACTCAGCTCCAGTGAAACCCAAACCAGGAAGTATAAAAAAGACAATTATTGCCAGTCAGAAATGGGAATGGGTCAACAAGAAGGGTTTATGGTAACTGTGACTGGCACTTCTCAGCATAAGTGAGACAAAGCAAGACAAGCTCTCAGAGCAGGAGAACACAACAAATTGGGCACTGCAGTATCTGCTCTCTGCAACCAGAGAAAGGGACAAAAGTCTCTTCTCTGAAGCTCTGGGGAGGCTGAGGCAGCACCCAAGTGTTGGGTGCACTCATGCAAAAAGGAACAGTTTTAGATGAGGCACTTGGGTGTTTGCACTCTCACTTGGAGGAGCAGAATGTGGCCTCTTGCTCTGCACTAAGGATTTTGGAGGACTCTTCTCCAACGTGCTGGAACAACAAGGAGGCTGTTTTAATGATCCCACTGCTTTCCCAGACATTGTTTGAATCACTCATTCTTTTTGCTAAAGAGGTCCTGGAGCCCTGACTCTCATCTCCATCACAGTCACTGGTCTCACAGCTGGGACAACCAGAGCTACAGCTTGGAGCATTTTGCTGCTGTTTGGTCCCAGCCACCTCAACAACACCCATTCCCAGTCTCCTGCCATTCCTTGCATTTTAAGCCAAATGCTCCAATCCTGCTGCTTCTTTCTCCTCAGCTTTTCTGATAACCCTTCCTTCTTCCTTCTCTACATCACCATTCTTCAGTTACACAAGAACAAAAGATTAAAGCCCAGCCTTTGCAGGCGGGTGAGGAGCTGCACTAAACTAGACAGTGGTAACCTGTGCCAGGGTTTTGTTTCAGCCATCAAATGCTCTACAGAGCCACGATGCAAACGGGAATAAATTAAGTTTGGAGAGCACCTTCCCTCCAAAGTCAAAGGCTGCCTGGCACATGAGCACGTTTAGGTAAAGGATGGGATCAGTTTTGAAGTGAAACATTACCTACCCTTCAGCTCTTGTCCCTCTCCAGTCCTTCCCCAGGATCCAGAGGCAGTGGAACAGCCACCTCCGTGCTCAGCTCTGCGGCTCTTGAGCCCGAAGAGGCTCCTCTTCCAGCCCTCCTGTCCCTGCAGAGCAAGATAACACTTGTCCATCATGTGACACAACTGACACAGCCCCTCTCTTGGAGGTTAATAACTTTCCTAAAGGCAGCAGGAAATAAAAAAAGTAACTGCTTGATTTCCCCCCCCCCCAGTCCTTTAACACCTCTGGGAAGCATTCAATTAAAATAAATTAGGGCACATCTCAAAGATGGTCCAAATCCCCACAGATTTAGCTATAATGGGTTATTTTGATAGGAGTGCATTTATTCCCATACTCAAAATGTTTTTCTAACTAAAATAGTTTAATCCCTCAAAGGAAAAGTAATTCAGTTAAAGACCACAGGTTTCCATTTTGTGGGTTATGCCTCTGTACACCAGACCTATTTTCCAATTCCTACCCAAATACCATTTCAAAAGAATCCTCTTACAATTTAGAATTAAAATTTCCATTTTTTTTTTCCCCCAAAAAAAGACTTTGGGACACGTTTTAGGAAGGACTCATTTAATATTGTTGTAACCTGAGCTTCAGGGATGCCATGGCATTTCTTTTGAGGTTACTGAAAGTTCTGTCCCTGCCACTAAGGCCACATATATTAAACTGTCCTGAAAGATGGTTAGAAATTAAAAATACACATTCTTTGGGTTTTTGTGGGGATCTCACTGTGCCCCAGCACCCCTTTCACCAAAACTGATGGCTTGGAAAGACTGGGATGGGCAGAGAGAAAGGCTTTGGAGAGAGAGGCCACAGAGCACTGGAAGACAGGCTGTAACTTAATATTCAGGTGACTAAACACAGTATAATTCACATCCTTAATTCCAGAGGGCTGTTCAGGCATCCATGCCCAGACAGTGCCCAGGTGTTTGTCTCGGCCCTCAGATGCATCCTGAGCTCTGGAGGTGAAGTCAAGCTCTGTCCTGTCATCCTCCCTGTGCTTCCAGGGACACAGAGGGAAGAAAGGTCCCAGGAATTGTCAACACACACCCTGCACAAAACAGGCCTGCTAAAGTTTGACTAGGAAAGAAAAAAAGAGTTAAAACATAAACCCAGCCCTAAGAATCACCACCTGACTCTTTCAGCCAGTGCAGATTTGGCAGGAACTTTGCCTTCATCCTCTTTTGAAAGTGCTGGGAGACAGTTTCCTCACAAGTGGCTGCCTGAACCTGCCCAGCCATTATGTCCAGAGTGCTGCTCCTGGAAGAGGGAGTACAGCACAGATGAAAGGGGATGACCAGAAGCACTTGACAAAGCTCACAGAACACAGTGCCTGAAATGAGCTCCTGAGACAACAAGTCCTGCTTTTCACCGACATCAACAGCCTCTAAGTGGTACCAATTGAGATTTCACACACTCCACCTGCCCTGGTGAGGACACACTGCCCAGACAGGGCTCAGAGAGGCTGATTCTGAGCCCTGTGAGAGAGGAGAACATTCTTTTAAATCAGTTTAAATACACTGAACAACTGCCTGCCTCACTAATAACATCCTGCTGTCTCCTGGGGTCCTCTGGTCAGGGCAGCACCAAACCCAGCAAGGTGTGGGGGTTTCAGTCCTGTATTTCACCCTGGAACAGGGACAGGAAAAGCTCAGTGTTGGAACAGCTTCAAGGCTGTGCCCTTTGTCCTCAGGGAATGGCAAAGTCCACCCAGCTCACAGTTCTCCACAGGGAACAGCAGTTAAAGTTCCAACTCGCAGGTTCCCATCACCATACATCAGGAGCTGCAGTTTTTTTGCTTTAAACCCACAGTTTTTTTAAAGAAATACAAGATTTCTAAACACTCAGTGATTACACAGATCATTCTGAGCAGAGGGGTAGTCAGAAACATTCATGACATTCAGAAGATATTCAAAGATCACAGGAAAAAAAGGCTTGAAGGTGGAAACAATGCAAACATTCAAGTAAGAGACTTGTTCCCAGTGCACTCACCTTCCTCATTGCTACCACCCACTTGAAAAGCACTGAGTCTCCTCCTCCCCTTCCCCACAGCAATTACAAACACCCCTGATTTCAGCTGCTCAGTAGGACACGGAGCAAAGCTCAAATTACTCAGCAGAGCTCACCTCCTATTGCACAACTGGAGGCGTGGGTTTCCAAACCCTCACTGGAAAACACGGGATGAAGCCATTACAACTGTCACTTACCCAGTAAGGAATAAGGAAAGGGCTCTTCCGTGGTGCAGAAAGAATGGATTGAAAGCAAGAGGACTGGCATAACGAAGCCTGTTTCAATGAGCTAATGAAAGCATTAAGAAGAGCTGATATAGGCTATCATGAGGTAGGATGCTACAAAGCATAAGAGCCCCCGGTGAGGGGAGGAACCGAGCAAAATTAACCTTCAAAGAGCAGAATTCCTAATAGCAACACCCCCAAATCTGTTGGGTGAAACAATCTTAGAATTCCTGGCAGCAGAACAGCACCAAAATCCACTGCCCAAACACAGCACAGGTGCTCCAAGGCATGAGAGAGTAACATCACACTTTCTCCACCTCAACCCACATTCTCACCATTAACTAAACCAGGATACCCACTTGTTGGTAAGCACAGACCAGAGGAAACAAGGACAGCAGAGAGCCCGGAAGAAATGTGGTATGGATAACCAGGGGATAACCTGGATTCACAGCACTTGGTAGACAAACAGCTGCTATCAAACACTTATCAGCCCTTCCCTCGGGTCACCTGCATGACCTGCCAAACATCCAGGAGGCACAGCTGGAACAAAAACGGGAATCTTGCTGCTTTATTATCTCCTGTAAACACCAGAGGACATTGGGCAGAGAACAGAAAACCAGACAAACGCAGCAAAGGGGCTTAACCTCGGTCAGGAGAAAAGAAACATGAAGAATCTCCACGGATTTGGGCCTCACCACCCCAAAAACCACGAGCAGTCCATAGGATCAGGGACGCTGGTAGTTACAACACAGTAAATCCTGCTGGGGAGGCAGGGGGAAAGCACAGGAATTCCTGCTGGGGAGGCAGGGGGAAAGCACAGGAATTCCTGCTGGGGAGGCGGGGGGAAGGCACAGGAATTCCTGCTGGGGAGGTGGACAAAGCCCGTCGGTCCCGACTCCCCGCACCCAGCAGAGCGGATTCCTCCCTGTGTCATCGGGCACCGTCCCTGCGGCAGGAGCGGGGCGAGTCCATCCCACACCTCCCGCGGTTCTGAGGGAGCAGAGCCGCTCAGATCCAGAGTGACGAGCTGGCAGCACCTCATTTATCCACACCAATTTATCAGTAAAACCTGAACGCCGGCGAAGAGCGACCTCCCCTCCCACCCTCCGCCCTCACAGCGCTCCCTCCCGCCGCCCGTTCCCCACACGCGGCTCCAGGGCCGCGTCCCTCCCATCGCCTGGTTTGTACAACACCGCCCCGGCCGGTGCCGGGTCACGGTGCCCCGGGACCCTCCGGAGCCGCCCGGGCTGGGGTCTGCCCTGCCCGCGGTCACTGCGGGGCCCCTCGTGCCGTGAGGGGACGGGCAGCGCCGGGCGGGTCCCGCGGAGGGGAGAGTGAGGCGCCCGCCAGTCCCGCACTCACCGCGCTCGGCGCCGGCAGCTCCGCTGGGCCCGGCACGACGCGGAACTGGGCCCGGCTTAACCCGCCCCGTCCCGCCCTCGCCGTCCGTCACTTCCCGAGCGCCGCAGGCCCGTCACGGCCGGGCGGGAGCGGCGGAGCCGGGCGGGAGCGGCGGGTGAGCGGGGACCCCCATGGCCCCTCATTGTCCCCTCATGACCCCCTTACGGTCCTCTCATGGCCCCCCCATGGTCCCCTCATGGCCCCCCCATAGCCCCTCATGGCCCTCTCGTGGCCCCTCATAGCCCCTCATGGCCTCTCGTGTCCCTCTCTTAGCCCCTCATGGCCCTCTCATAGCCCCTCATGGCTCCCCGAGGGTCGGAGGGCTCGGCTCGTTCGATCCCCGCTCGGTCTGTGCCCCCGTTCCCCCCTCAAGCCCCAACGGCCGCGGGCCTGGCGGGGCCGGAGCTGCCGAGGTGGGGCCGGAGGCGGCCCCGCTCTGCTCCCGGGGACCGGCACCGAACTCATTTTGGGGTGTTGGCGTAAAACCCTCCAGCGTTTTACCGGTTCTCTGCGCATTTTTAGGTGTAGTTTTGGCGTGAGGAGAGGCGGAGAGAATTGGGGTTGTTCAGCCCGGAGAAGGCTGTGGGGTGACCTAATTGTGGCCTTCCAGTGTCTGAAGGGGACTTGGAGGAAAGATTGAGCATGGAGTGACAGGACAAGGGGGAATGGCTTCAAATTGAGAGAGAGCAGGGTTAGATGGGAGATTAGGATGAATTCTTCCCTGTGAGGGTGATGAGGCCGTGGCACAGGCTGCCCAGAGAAGCTGTGGCTGCCCCATCCCTGCAAGTGTCTAAGGCCAGGTTGGAGCAACCTGGGATAGTGGGAAGTGTTCGTGCCCATGGCAGGGATGGGACTGGATGATCTTCAAGGTCCTTCCCAACCCAAACCGCTCTGTGATTCTGTGATAATTTGCCATTTGTTATTAGCTCTGTTCCTGAGCTGAAACCTGCCACCAGTGAGTTGTCTGCAGTTAGAAACCTGTGGCTGGGGAAGGAGACCGCGCACCAGGAAAGGTGTCTCTGAACATCCTTTCCCAATGAGTGAAGCTGGAATTGCCCTTTTGTGTTTCTAACAAGCGTTGTTTGTTTCCAGATAACCAGGTGAGAGCTCCCTAAATGCTCCAGTAAATTCTCTTCTCCCCTTCCATAGCCAGGTGTCCAGAATCCACCATGGACTATCTCACCAAGCTCCTCGGCGTCGTGGCTGGAGTCGCGTGCGGCCTGTGCCTGGGATGGGGCATCCGTGAGAGGCTCCTGAGGAAGCGCAAAGCGGGGACACCTGCACCTCCCAGCACCCTGGAGGGCGAGGCAGACGTCATGGCAGAGTCCGGGGAGTTCAAGATGGTGCTGATCGTCCGCCAGGACCTCAAGATGGGCAAGGGCAAAGTGGCAGCCCAGTGTTCCCACGCTGCTGTCTCTGCCTACAAGCAAGTGGAGAGAAGGAATCCCGAGCTCCTGAAGCAGTGGGAGTACTGTGGGCAACCCAAAATAGTCCTCAAAGCTCCTAATGAGGAGACTCTGGCCCAGCTCCTGGCTGAGGCGAAGCGCCTGGGACTGACCGTGAGCTTGATCCAGGATGCTGGGCGTACTCAGATAGCTCCAGGCTCCAGGACCGTCCTCGGCATCGGACCAGGGCCAGCTGATGTCATAGATAAAGTCTCTGGTCACCTTAAACTCTTCTAAACTAGGACCAAAATAGTTGATGTATGTCAGTACTGAAGGGTTACAATCCAAGTTTGGGCGTTTTTCCATATGCTCTCAGTTTAAATAAAATAAGCAAGTTTTGTAAGGTTTAAATTTGTAAATCATGAGTTTCTCTGGCTTGTGTGTTATGTTCCAAAGGGGGGAAGAAAACACTTGGCTCAGGGGAGTTGAAGAAAGCAGAGGTGGCAGAGTTTTACTACCCCCAGGAAGGAACCCCCAATATTTACAACTTGTGCAATGGGTTGAGGATTTTGTGTGGTGGGTGGTAGCAAAGTTCAAGAGAATTTGTCTCATGTGCTCAAAATGGCAAGGGTTCCCCTTTCTGCCTGTTTTTGAAGAGATACATTCTTTAATTCAGAAAGGACTGGCAGGTGAAGCAGTTAAAAATCACCCCAGATGGCTTGGGGGGAACTGCAGCCAACATCCTGCCCCAGTTCTGGGAGAGCAACTGATGCAATAACCTGTAACTGGTGTGAGACTGACTGGTTAAACTGGGTTTGCAGCCCAAGCCTTAGGAGCCAGTAAATAGTTGTGGGGAGCAGCTGTAAGCTGAGCTCCCCTCTGGATGGGTCTGTGTGGCTCCTACACCTGCAAAAATGTGCAGTTTTGCTGAGGTGGAGGGAGTTACCCTCACACAGACAGGTTGGCACACAGGGCCACACTTAAATCCTGTGTTACTTGGGGTTAACCAGTCCTCCCAGGTTTAAGGAAGGAGTTACAAATGTTACTGGGCAGTTCAGAGCACACTGATCACAGCTCAAGTAAATTCTACCTCTACAGCTCCGTTGCAGCTCTGACTGTAAATAGGCAAGTTCCCTGCACTTTTAGCAGGTGGAATTTCTGCAGGTCAGTTTTGTAACAAATCTGGTTTGTAAGAATTCTGTTGAGCACCTTTTACAGCCTCATGGCCATGTTTTCCAGCTGAGCACCAAAGAAATAGGTTGTAAGAGGGAACAGAAGGATTTGTCTCCATCAGTCACATTTACAGACCCAGGAGGAATGTCAGAGGGGCTGACGTAAGTTTTATACTGCACCTCTCAGGCATAATCCTTTCAGAGACACAACTGTGGAGTCCCCAGGAGCAAGGGAGAAGGGGATTTGGCCTCAGAGTTGGATCCTGACACCAACTGTGGCCCCTGGTTGAGACAGGAGCTCTGACAGCTCTCACAAACACAAACCTGGCCAGTGCTGTAACACTCATTACACTCAAATATGACAGTATTCATAGAGAAACATTTAAGTCAATTTTATTTGAAGCTAAATATGTTTAAGGCAATTTACATACCTAGAACATGATCTCAATTGAACTGGCACACCCTACCACAATCCTAATGTATCATCTGCTCAAATCTGCTGGAGTTGACCACAGTGCAGCCAACTGGTGAAAAGTGCTATTTTCTTCTCTCTGGCATCATCTTTCTATAGAAAAAGCATTACATATTTTCCTGTATCGCCCCCTCAGTGCAAGACCCCACTACTGGTCCCCATTGCTGCTCTTCTACTGGCCCCCTCAGACCCCTGCCTGCATTGCCCCACACCAGCAGCACTGTAATACTTGGTTTGAGTTGGAAGGTCCTTTTTGAAGACAGTAAAGTGAAGCTACCACTGTGCAGCATGTCCACAGTCCAGTAATTTATTTTTAAATCGCGTAATTTCAAATTGCACAAACAAAACTGAACAGCAATATGCTTGAATTCTCTCTTCTGTACACTCAAAACAGTGATCTAAAACACCACAATATCCAACATACACAAACCTCAGGGCAGGGTTAGTAAATACACAGATTGGAATCATGGTGCTCTGTTCCTGAATGGAATGTCCCACAAAAGCACAGGATACAGCACAACATAAGGTCATCTGTTACATATGGAGTGAGCAAAAAGACACTAGCATTTTCTATATGCATAACTGGAAAAACCTGCATAGGTTAAGGGGAAAAAAAAAAACAAAACAAAACCAAAACTTTTTACTCATTTGAAGTCAGGCAAGGTTGTCTGTACGCATTGGAAATTCTTTTAGAGCTATGCAATCCAACCCAGGGAGGATATGCTGATTAGTGTTGTCTCTTGTCAGCAGTCTTGCAAGGTCAAATACAAGTATCTTGGCTTTAGCTTTCTCCAAATATACAGTGAGACTTAAATGCATTTAGAATAGACAGTACATACTGTAAAGCTGCTCACATACAATGAACTTAAGATTCAATATTAGAGTGTAACACTATAGAGTGCAAATCAGAATCTTCACAATAGACTTAATGGTAATAAGCAGTCCTGCAAAAGCCCACTTGAACAAAGTCGTTTTAAACTATTCCCCTTTTGAAAGTAAAAGTCTAAATGACATGGAATGTGGAAAAAAGATTTAAACAGAGGTGA